ATTATATATATATATATATACATATATATAATGCATGATAATAATAAAATTTAAATACTAACTGTCTACTCAATGAGATATACTAGATAAATAAAAAATGCCCGTATCGACCGAAAAGCTGCGATTTACAATTTACAATAACTGATAGAATTTTTTTTACGTAAATATTACTTTTTTTTCCAAATTCCGTTTCTGCACTACGTTTTGGAGTGTAGAAAATTTTTTGTAGAAGTTTCCCAGTTCAGATTCTCAAGTTTTTCATTAAAATATATTTGTAATAATCGAGCAGTAAATATCTATTAAAGACAAAATTGAATTTTCACATAAATAAATCAAATATATTATCACACTTCATTAAAAGATAAATGTTAATCGTTTTCTTTAAATATGGAAGAAAATAACTTCATTTAAAACATTATTTTAAATTTTGTAAATTCTGACTCATGATTCATGATTAATCTACCTAATAAGATAAAAAAATAAGCAAGTGATCACCTAATACAGAAATTCTAAAATAAATTAATACTTCATGCACAACCTCATTTTCCTTAATTTCCTTCTGCCATTTCTCAACCATAAATAGCCAGAAACAAGGCCTGCACTATGTTTTAAACATGACTTTAACTATGGTTGATAAATTCATCTACCCAAAACTCATTTCAGTTCAAAGAATTTCACTGAGTATATTAAGGTTTCCCCTGATGAATTATTTAACAAAGGCTTCATCATTAAACCTTTTAAACATGCTTTAACTTAATTATTATAATCTAATTTTAAAATAAATAACTTAAAATAAAAATGTTTTAAAATACATATTTTAGTTAAAAGTGTATTCATTAATAATAAATATTAATAACTAACATTTTGTTCCTTGCGAGCTAAGTAATTTTTAATTAACTATATTAAGAATCTTCAAACAAATCAATACAATGCATCTACAAATCAATACGTACACAAATAGATCAATACATCAATTCACTGATCGTTCTCTGATTCAAGTCGAAATTACGATCTGTGGATGAATGAATGGATGCATGAAAGGGTCCGTCCTATAAACGGGAGCAACGTATGTTGTGGCAGAAGTCGAATTCTTGGCCATAGATGGCGCCACTGGAAAACCAGAACAATCGCTCCCCTTCTGCCTAAACATGCATACGTTCACAACAACAGCAAGAAGAACCTTCAATACTTACTCTAAGCTTTACTCACTGTCTTCTGTGACTAGCTGGTTTAACATTTAAATACACCAGCAGCTGAAGTTCAGCTGCCTTCGGCAGAATTGCTTTGATTGCTTCAAATTCCTGTTGTAAATACTTTATAAACAGATCTACGGTGGTATTTGAATATTTAAAGTTCTTTAATTCATATGTTATTTAAAAATAGCTCTTCTATCAATTGCGTAAAAAGCTATAAATGCTTTATAAATGAACCCATGGATGTATTTGAATATTTAAAGTTCTTTAAATCATATGTTATTTAAAAATGGTTCTTCTATCAATTTTTAAGATTGAGATTTTGATATATGGTACCTGGGAT